GACTTGTGGACTTCGACTCCCAGAATTCCTCAGCCAGCAAAGCAGGGATCTCCAACCGTGGCCATTTTAAGACTGGTGGACTTCAACTCCCAGAATTCCTCAGCCAGCAAAGCTGGCTGAGGAATTCTGGGACTTGAAGTCCACAAGTCTTAAAGTAGCCAAGGTTGGACACCCCTGCTTTAATGTAACAGATTCATACAATCCCAAACTGATTTCAGTCCAGCGCAGACAATGTTAATGCCTATTTCTGCCCGAGCTTTTCCCCACTCTAGGGAGACTCTTGGTGCGAGGTAGGCTGGGTACCCTTGTACTGAGTTCGAGGCCTGGCCTGGACGGACTTGGCCACTCCCCCACCCCACCCCACCCCTCCCTCCCTGGGCTCACCTGGGTTGAGGCTGAAGGTGCTCTGAATGAGGCTGCGGCGCATGCAAGTGACGGTGCTGGTGACGGCGTGCATGTGGGAGGAGAGCTGCATGGCACAGAGTGGATACTCTGGGCCGGAGCCGTTCTGAGGCGTGTTGTATTTCTGGTAGCACTAAGAAGGCAAGCAGGGAAGAGGTGGGTTTGTAGACAAGAGGCAGGTCTACCTACTGTCAGGATTCCAGCAATCGCCCTCATGAAACCATGATCCTCGAGCCAAACTTCAACCAACTTCAAAGGATTCATTAGAGGCGACCTACTGGCCCTGCCAACTCTATGAAGCCAACTCTGGCCTATGTAATTTAACAGTCCCCTGTGACCCTATTTCCCCCCTTCCCCCCAGGTGCGTCATCAATCAGATTCTCCAACTGAGCACCTTCACGGGCTGGGTGCCGTCCTTCACGTTCTCCCATTAAATATATTCAGGTCAAAAGCTCTGGTAGTTTAGTTACAGCCTTTTAAAGAGAAGAGTTGGAATGTACTTCCGCTTCCAAACCACTGCACGGCTCTTCCAGATTTACTCCCTCCCCCCCACCCTTTTTATGGCAGCTACTAAAACAGCCGTAGGGATGTTTGATGAGTTGACATCTTCTCTGATAGCAGTGAAGTATCAAAGTTAGTACAGGCAGTCCTCGGCTTACGAGCACAGTCGAGTCCCAACATTTCTGCTGCTAAGCGAGACCCATTCTACGACCTTTTTTTTGGTACAGTGGTTAAGCTGAATCTCTGCCGTTGGTACTTTCGTAACCCGGTCATTAAGTGAATCTGGCTCCCCCGTTTGACTTTGCTTGCCGGAAGGTCGCCAAAGGGACTTGATCCCGGGACACTGCGACTGTCGTAAGCATGAAGTCGGTTGCCAAGCTTCTGAATTGTGTGATATGACCATGTGACCACACTTAACGGTTGTTAAGTGTGAAAAAAGGGTCGTAAGTCACCTTTTTCAGTGCCGTTGTAGCCATAGCCATAGCACTTAAGACTTATATCCCGCTTCACAGTGCTTTTACAGCCCTCTCTAAGTGGTTTACAGAGTCAGCCTATTGTCCCACAACAAACTGGGTCCTCATTTTACCCGCCTCGGAAGGACGGAAGGCTGAGTCAACTTGGAGCCTGGTGAGAGTCGAACTGCCAAATTGCAATCAGCCGACAGTCAGCAGAAAGAGCGCGCAGTACTGCACTCTGACCACTGCGCCACCGCGGCCCGTGGTAACTTCAAAGTGTCACTAAACCAAACTCTTGTAAGTTGAGGACTACAGTGCCTGCACTAACTTTGATACTTCGCTTGCATGCTTTAAAATGTTCTCCTGTCCATCCTGCTGCATGGAAGCACGGGAGTCTCCATGGAATCTAGTACCTGCTTGATAACCTCGCTTTCGCTTTCATCCTGAAGAAGGAAGATCGGGAAGCCAAAGTCCAGGTAGGAGAGGCTGTTCCCCAGGTAGTTCCATTTGGTCGGGCTGCAGTGGGCATATTCTGGGCCATAGCTGCTGTTGTAGACCCCTAAAAGGAGAGGAGAGGAGAGGCAGAGGAGGGGGTTAACCTGTGAAATCACGGTAGCCTGAAAAGCTGGGTGATGACCCTGGGTGAACCAAAACTAACTAAGTCACAAGAGTAGAATAAATCCCCTTTAATGCCTCCAACTCCTGCCCCAATATCCAATTATCCTTGGCTGGATATCAAACTCTTCCAAAAAAAACAGTCTGTGAAGGGAGTAAATGCAGTTCAAACCCAAAGTAAAGATAATTAGAAATTTAAAAAAAACTAACACAAACAAACGGCTGAAGTAACTGACACAGCAGGCCAGGATGATAAATTGCAGACTTCCACAAGATAACTGCAGCATCCAGTTGGGAGGACGCCAAAACCCAGATAAGGGGGGGGGGGAAGGAAGGAGGAAGAGCGGGGAGAGGAAGAAGGAAAAGGGAGAAGGAAGGAAACATTCTCAAATCACACTGCGTTTTCCATAAGGGGAATACTTTCCTGCGGGGGCCCTTCCATTCCTCCAAATTAGTGTGACTCTATTCATCTATTTGTGATACCCAACAGCAGCATGTGCCTTAAACCAGGGGTCTCCAACCTTGGCCACTTTAAGACTTGTGGACTTCAACTCCCAGAGTTCCTCAGCCAGCTTGCTGGAAGTCCACAAGTCTTAAAGTGGCCAAGGTTGGAGACCCCTGGTTTAAACAATGGTGCCGTTTGTGCCCGTATCCTGGGGCCCTTTCACAGCAGAGCACGAACAAGAGCCTGCTTGTGGTTTTCTGCCTTTTTTCGCCCCCCAGCCTCACATTCCCACTCCCTGCCCACGAGGCGGCTTCCTCGCACATCCTTAAAGCCCCTTCCGAGCTCCACATTGCGACTCCTCTCCACAGGCAACTAGTAAGCTTCTCAAAGGAGAGAAATCCCCCAAGCATTTCTGAAGGGCTCGATTCCTCTTAGCAGGGACGAGACTTTTGTCAGCCCAAATCTCTGCAAAGATGATGATGATGATGATGATGAAGAGAGGGAACTTTGTCACTTTTTTTCAGCTTAAGCCAGATAAAATACAAATGAAAATAATAGGAAAGCGGCGAAAGAAAGGAGAGTGAAATATCAGGGGGGGTCGAAAGGAAGAAATAAAACACTGACTTCCAAGTTTTTCAGCGCAGTAAAATATAGAATTATAAGCTCCGCTTTTTTTTTACTTTCTCAGCTTAATGAGGACTGGCCGTTTCTAGAACAACAAACTAAGAGCAAAACCCCAAAGGCTACATTTCATTCCACCCCCTACCTGGAGCACAAGGTCCAGGTAGAAGCAGTTTCCAGGTAGAAACCAAGCTGGACATGTGCTTTTTTCTAAATCCGGGGTGTCCAACCTTGGCCAATTTAAGACCTGTGAACTTCAATCCCCAGAATCCCTTAGGAAGCCATGATGGCTGGGGAATTCTGGGAGTTGAAGTTCACGAACCCTGGGCCTAACTAACGAAAGGAAATTCAATGTAGAGAAAAGTAAAGTCTTATACTTAGACAAGAAAAACCAAAAGGACACCTATGGACTGGGTGAAACCATAGGAGCCAGCTGTGTGCAGCGGCAGCCAAAAAAGCTAATGCAATCCTAAGTTGTATTAACAGAGGGACGCAATGAAGATCAAGGGAGGTACTAATACCACTGTGTAAAGCCTTAGTAAGGCCACACCTAGAGTACTGCATCCAATTTTGGTCACCACACTATAAAAAAGATGTTGAGACTCTAGAAAGAGTGCAGAGAAGAGCAACCAGGATGATTAGGGGTCTCTGGAGGCTCAAACATAAAATGAACAGCTGCAGGAACCGGGCCTGGCTAGTCTGGTGAAGAGAAGGACCAGGGGGGACAGGAGAGCAGCCTTCCAATATTTGAGGGGCTGCCCCAGAGAGGAGGAAGGGGTCAAGCTATTCTCCAAGGCACCTGGAGGCCCGACAAGGAACAATGGATGGAAACTGAACAAGGAGAGATTCAACCTGGAAATAAGGAGGAATTTCCTGACAGGGAGAACAATCCACCCATGGAACAGAAGTTGCCCTCAGAAGTTGTGGGAGCTTCATCCCTGGAAGCTTTCAAGAAGAGACTGGACTGCCATCTGTCGGAAATGGTGTAGGGTCTCCTGCTTGGGCAGGGGGAGAGTTGGACTAGATGACCTACAAGGCCCCTTCCAACTCTGTTCATCTAATTGAATCATTTCAAGAAAGTCCATTTCAAGAAGCATTTAGAGTCCATGAAGGGTTCCGTGGGGTCAGCCGGGAGGGAGCCCACCCAGGGAAGGACTTGAGATGAGCTTGAAGGGCCGAGAGAGAGAGAGAGAGAGAGAGAGAGAGAGAGAGAGAGA